TTTCTGGCTAGGAAGGGTATTGAAAGGTCGACGTAAACAACTGCTGAAGTCCTCAAGCTTCTCAGCTGGCCTCTTGTCTCCCTGTATTTAATCTTCCCAACTGAACTTATGACTCATCATCTTAGCAATGACCTGTTTCCCTTTGCGAGTTCCTCCCCTTCCCTTGCCACTATTCTTTTCGTCCTTTGTGATGCTGCTGCAGCTCTCCTACAGGCCTGTTTGGGCATGCTTGAGATGTCAGATGCCAGTACTTCAGCTGTCCTTGTGTATCCATGGTGATGGATGAAAAATAAGCTGCTTTTCAGTGATTTGAACTTTAATCCAGTCAAATGATGCATGCTTTATTACTCAGGTGACTTTTCCCAATACTTTAAGATCACTGAAATCTTGAATTATTAAAGAGAAATTAACATATTTATGTTTTTACCCTTTCTTTTCTTTTTCTTCTTTAACCATTATTATGCCTTGGTAAATTAAAATAATCTTTGGTCTTAGAACCTGAAAATTTTTATTCATAATTATAGGAAAATAATTCCAGAAATAAGATTCCAACAGAAAAGAACCTAAAAGATGTTGTTTAACATTCCTTCTCACTACATCTACATAAGAAACTATTAGGCTAAGTAAAGCATGGAGGACCTGCATAATATTAGGGAAAACAATGAAAACTTTGAAACATTGACAAAGTTGTGTCATCCCAAACGCTGGCCACTTAATTTCAGGTGCTAGTTGTACTTGAAATTATTAAATAATATTGACTTGAAATCTTTCTGCATTCAGGAAACAGAAACCCTAAGTCTGATGTTAGTCTTAGCACCTTGCTAACTGTGCTGGCATTGTTGTTTTTTTTTTTTAAACAACAACAACAAAAAAAAATGGGCAGACGTTTTGTATATAACCTTGGTAAGCAATAGCTTCTAGTTAAAATGTTTCCATTTTCTCAATTTTCATATAAATATCTATTTATAAATAACACTGACTTTCCAGGATAAAATGTCCTTACATTGAAACAAGTGGAGTTGAGGTCATGATACCTGAACCAGGTAACAGGGAAGGAAGAACAACAGGGTAGCAATTGCATGTGCCTTGGTCTAATCCGTAACACCAAAATTAATTATTGGGAATAGAAGCCAGGTAAACCCTAACATTATGACACGATGACATTACCCAAGATATTTAGGAAAACCATAATATTTGGATGAATTAAAAACTTTTTTCCAGATAATACAGATAATACAAATGGTGGGGTAAAAATGATTAAGCTTGAAAGTGTCTTCAGTCTTCCTTCTCCCACTTCCTGCTTAGTGGAATGTTGAATGGGGTTTTTCCTGCTGCTTCAGCATTGTGGCTACTGCCCAAAGCTGAGAACATTCTCTAAAGAGCCATAAATAATTAGGAGTCAAAACCTCCCACCAGGGCTTATTAAAAAGGCATAACCAACCTTACTGCCAGAAACCATCAACCTAGGAAACTCCTCTCTTCACTTTCACTTCACCGTAAGAGAGGTCTGTGTATGGGAAAGAAGAGAAGAAACCATATTTGGCTTCTTCTCTTCTTTTTTAGTAGAGATTGTGCAGTGGCACAATCTCTGCTCACTGCAACCTCCACCTCCTGGGTTCAAGCAATTCTCCTGCCTCAGCCTTCTGAGTAGCTAGGATTACAGGTGCACACTACCACAGCCATCTAATTTTTTGTGTTTTTAGTAGAGATGGGGTTTCGCCATGTTGGCCAGGCTGGTCTTGAACTCCTGACCTCTTGATCTGTCTGCCTTGGCTTTGGAAAGTGCTGAGACCACAGGCATGCGCCACCACACCCGGCCTAAGTTGTAATTCCTTTGTAACTTTGTGTTGCGATTGGAATAAAGCATTTGAGACAGTTATTGGGAGTGTTTCCCATTGTTCATGAGGCATCCATAGAGACTATTCTCTGTTTCTAGTCTAGAAATTTCTGATGATGGGAGTAGAAAAACCACTGCCACTAAGGCTTAAAAGCATAGTATGCCTGAGAAGAGGATAAGAACCAGACTGCCCACATCCTGATTCTCTATGATCTTAAAGGACATGGCAAGGACCACTGAGGTTTTATGGTTGCATGAGTTAGAGGAGAAGCAGAGGAGCATGATCCACCCCAGGAGGCTGCTGGGTGGTGAAGAGCACAACCCAGAGATGAAGCTGGGAGGTAAACTACTGGTAGACCTGAGGGAAGCCTTTCTTTTCCTCACAGTGACAGAGGGGCGCTGCGTGAAGCTAAGCATTGCCCAAGGGCACCCACCATATTTGACCTGTCTGGAAACCATCTCAAGCCTTTGGTGCACTGGCATCTGACCTGAATGTGCTGAACTGAAGTGAAACTTGTGTTGCCTCCCTACACGTGACCCAAGGGCCATTCTTGTAAGAAGCTGAATCTGTTCCCTCTCCTCCAGCCAGAGCCAGCTGCACTTACTGCTCCCCAACATCAGTCTGTTCTGGCTTTTACTGTGTGGTGGAAGGAAAAGAGCTTGAATCAGAATTGAGACTGAAGTTTAAAAATTAGGCTATGCTTCGAAAACTGAAAGTAATCAGAATATTATAGAATGTGTCCAAAATGTTTCAGTGATGAGAATGTGGAGTTCCCCTATGCATAGTTGAAAGCAGTGATTAGAAAAAAAAAATGTAATTTTTGTTAATACCCTATTAAGCTGAGACCACTCAATTAACATATAGAGTCCAACTATATAAATAATAATTATTTTTTGAGATAGGGTCTCACCCTGTTGCCTAGGCTGGAGTGCAGTGGCACAATCACAGCTCACTACAGCCTTAACTTCCTAGGCTCAAGCAATCCTCCCACTCCAGTGTCTCAAGTAGCTGGGACCAGGTGTGTACCACCACACCTGGATAATATTTTGTTTTAATTTTTGTGTCGAAATGAGGTCTCACTATGTCGCCTAGACTGGCCTCAAACTCTTGAGCTCAAGCTATCTTCCTTCCTGAGCCTCTCGAAGTTCTGGGATTATAGGCATGAGCCTACCACTCCCAACCATACATAATTTTGGATCATGAGTTTTCACTAAATAATTATAAGCAATTTTATCATCTTAAAAAAACTTTGTATCATTTATAATAGTTTTATATTTCCATTTGATATATATGCCAAATGTTTTAATCTTTAGTATATTGTAGGACACTGGTGTTATTTTTAAATTAAGATTTAAAATATTTGTTCCCCTTAAATGTGATTATTATTTTCATTATTAAACATCAACTGATCTTTGGACAAAGACCTTCTGACTACTTAGCTTTTCATTAGAAGACAGTTTGAGGTATTGCTCAGCCAGCGGGACTTTTGATTATGTGTATTTGCTAAGCTGGCAGCGCTACATGTTTTATCCTTCTACTGTTTGCCAATTGTTTAGAGCTGAGGGCTCTAGTACTGTAAGAAATAACATGTCCTTGCCTGCTGGAATGTAAGTACCACAAGGACAAGAATTCTTTTTTCTTTTTTCATTCTCTGCCATATGTCTAGCACCTAGAACAGGGCCCAGCTCTGGGTAGGCACTAATTAAATACTTTTTAAATATAAATAAATGACGGTAGTTTAAAGTAGGAGTGGGACATAATTGCTTCTCCTCGTCAGCTTTTGCTCAGTGGTTTATGGAAACCTCATAAGTAGATATTTAGAGCAAGTCTAGATCTAATAGGAGAAAAAATGAAAAAGGTAGGGCCTATAGAAGACAGAGATGACTTTGGGAGGCCAAGGTGGGTGGATCACAAGGTCAAGAGATCATGACCATCCTGGCCAGCATGGTGAAACCCTGTCTCTACTGCACAAAAATTAGCTGGGCATGGTGGCGTGTGCCTGTAGTCCCAGCTACTTGGGAGGCTGAGGTAGGAGAATCACTTGGACCCGTGAGGCAGAGGTTGCAGTGAGCTGAGATCGTGCCATTGCACTCCAGCCTGTCAACAGAGCGAGATTCTATCTCAAAACAACAACAACAACAACAACAAAAAAAAAAAAAAAAAAAAACCCGAGATGGAGATAATGGGGATGAGGGGGTTTTAGGTCCCTAGCATCAGAACCAATACCAATACGATCCTGTGACTTTGTTCTTATTAAGATATAAATTAATTAATCCAATGAATAAGACATCAAGCTGATAACAAAATGGTTGAAACCAAGCAATGACCATATGGAGGAAATTATTCATAGTGTCACCAAGTGGTAAACTGACCACACTTCTAATCCTCTGTTTCCCAAAGTCTCCATGAAATAACAGAAAAGCTATGAAATAAATAAAAGGCATTTGTAAAGATTAAAAACATAGCCTTAAGGATGAGAGGCATGAAATGAAGACAGCAATTCACCAAAAGTTCAAGGAAATTCTGAAAAATGCAAACTAAATAAAGTCAGACTAAGGGAGCAAACAAAGAAATGAAAACTACAGCCCAAAATTTCATAGATAAGAGGAATCTTTTTCAAAAGAGGCCCAGAGAAATTCCAAGTTCAGAGGCAACATTTGCAAAAGTCAGTTGAAGATGAGGCCATCACCAATGTAAATACGTAATAATGTTTTGTCACGTATACCACAGTGGTCCCTTAAAATTATAATGGAGCTGTAACATTTTTTATCTTTTATGCCATATTTTTACTCTATGTGTTCTATGTTTAGATACACAAATGCTTACCACTGTATTACAGTTGCCTACAATATTCAGTATAGTAACATATAGGAGCCTAGTTGGTAGCCTAGGAGCAACAGCCATTCCATACAGCCGAGGTGTGTAGTAGAGTTAAGCAGATGCTCAGAGCAAGCCTAACAGTTGTTTTTAAAATAACAAAAATCAGGGAGGAAAAAGGAGGGGAGTACCTGTAAGTTTCCTAATTTCCTTATCTTTTATGACAGTGATTTAGTAGATACTGTCTAAAATTAGTTGAAAAATAAAATTGAGATAAATTATTTTAGATCAAAGAGTAACCACTACAAACACTTAAGTAAGAATCCTTCAAAAATATTCAGTGGGTTCTTCTCCTGAAGAAGAAAGGGCCGCAGGAGGAAAGTCTTAGCCATGTCATCCTTGATCATAAGGGTGATCAGCACCGCGAAAGCCCCAGGGGCCATTGGACCCTACAGCCAAGCTGTGTTAGTCGACAGGACCGTTTACATTTCAGGACAGATAGGCATGGACCCTTCAAGTGGCCAGCTTGTGTCAGGAGGGGTGGCAGAAGAAGCTAAGCAAGCTCTTAGAAACATGAGTGAAATTCTGAAAGCTGCAAGCTGTGACTTCACTAATGTGGTGAAAACAACTGTTCTTCTGGCTGACATAAATGACTTCAATACTGTCAATGAAATCTACAAACAGTATTTCAAGAGGAATTTTCCTGCTAGAGCTGCTTACCAAGTTGCTGCTTTGCCCAAAGGTGCCCGAATTGAAATTGAAGCAGTAGCTGTCCAAGGACCTCTGACAACAGCATCACTATAAGTAGGCGCAGTGCTGTGTAGTCTGGAATTTTTAACATTTTAATTTTTACAATTGATATAACATCTTAATTAACATTTTAATTTTCCCAATATTGATGACAGTGTGAATTTGATGAAAATATCTGATGTTATTATGGAAATACCATGTAATAGGGAGAGTTGAACATGAACTGAAGATTAGAGAAAGAATCCAGTTACTGTTTTAAATTACACCTGTGTGCACCTGTATTTCTGAATACAGGAAAGAGATACTCATTACATAGTTACTCAATAAATAAAAGAGAAATAACAAGCAGGGAAGAAGACTTATTATTCCTGAGAAATAATCAAGAACATGTCCAATTCAAACTAATGATGTGAACGATTTTTTTTTTTTTTTTTTTTTTTTTTTTTTTTTTTTTTGAGACGGAGTTTCGCTCTTGTTACCCAGGCTGGAGTGCAATGGCGCGATCTCGGCTCACCGCAACCTCCGCCTCCTGGGTTCAGGCAATTCTCCTGCCTCAGCCTCCTGAGTAGCTGGGATTATAGGCACGCGCCACCATGCCCAGCTAATTTTTTTTTGTATTTTTAGTAGAGACGGGGTTTCACCATGTTGACCAGGTTGGTCGCAATCTCTCAACCTTGTGATCCACCCGCCTCGGCCTCCCAAGATGTGAACGATTTAATCCTCATGTCAGGTATGTGATTCTGCTTTTCCTGAGTAAAATTAAAGTGTTTAAATTTGAGGTCAAGAAGAAGAAAGTGGACCAAAATGTTATATAGATAATATTTTTCTAATGGAAATAAAATAGACATGCAGATTTCAAAAAAAAAAAAAAATTCAGTGGGCTACAGATAAAAATGATTATCTGTGGGGGTAGGGAGAATTTTATACAGACACATTTGTATAATTTCATTTTTTTCTGTGTTTTAATATTTCTTTGATTAAAAACTAACTTTTAAATGCATAGTAAGAGAAAAACATGAGGAAATATGCTAAAATGTTAATAGTGATTTTTTTATTAGTGAAAATTGTGGACCCCAATTTTTTTTTTCTTGGTTTTCTATAGTTCTGCATTTTCCAAGTTCTCTATATCCGTTACTTCCATAATAAGAAAACAACAGTTATAAATATAAAATTAACATTTTGAATAACAAACTGGAAAACAGTCCTCCAAAGAACCTAGTGAACTGTTAAAAGGAAATTTTAATTTCAGTCTACCAGGAAAGTTAAATCTGTTGTTGGACATAGTGGGCTTTCAGAAACATGCCTCTTATATCAATTTCCACCATCTTTCAAGTTACCTAAAGGCATCAGGTTGCTTGAGCAAGAGGAATAAAAGGCCTAGAGTGCAAGTTACGGGAAATAGAGCTTTTAGATTGTGGGATTTTAATAGGGGATTCTCATGGTCACATCATGTTAAATCACATTGTTTAGTCTTCACAACTTAGTGTTTTAAAGTTTATCTCATTGTGATAGCCAGAAACAAGGAATAAACGTGATTTCAGTTTAAGCTATATATAAATATCTTCTGTAATTTTGCTGTTCTAATTTTTAGGCTATAACTTTTGTAATAGAGCTTATCAGATTGTGAATTTCCTTTGTTTACAATCTCATGTAGTAGGGCTCAGATAATTTCTTAGCTATAAATCTTCTCTCCCACTCACATTGTTTCATGTAAAATATTTAAGCTAAGCCTAAAAATTGAATTCAATTAAGAATTTGGAAAGTTTATCTTAAATGGAAATGGTGTATTCTTTTCAAAGAATTTTGTAGTCATCTTCACAGTTTCTTTGCTTGGAAAACTTGGGTTGTTAACTACCAGTTAACAGTTGCAGTACTTTCCAAAACATTATCTAATGGGCCCAATGTGTACCTCAGAATAAACACATTATGTTATGTCTAAAAATTTCATTGTCTGTTGATTTAAATGGTTCTGAAATGTCTATAATAAAGAAAATTTCAAAGTTAAAAAAAAACAATAGTTATTAACAAAATGTCATGACTATGGGTTTGCTATAAAGTATCATCCATATAAATAAAGAATTTGAAGCAATATTTAGATAAAAGGAGGAGAATTAAAGAAGCCAAGAGGAAAGGCTGGACTTTTGCAGCTACGGGTAACAGGAAAAGGGAGAAGCTGGAACTGAAGGAAGGAAACTGGAACCGGTATCAGAAAGGAATACGTAAATTCTGACCGTCTACTGGAATGGAATGTTTGACCAGCCGTGGAGTTTACTAAGCCACTCTTGGATTTTTCCCTAATGTAATCCTTTGCTTATGTATATAGATGTTTATAATGAGAGCTTCAGATCCATTTTTCCTCTCTCATTTTTCACAAACAGATAAAAATCTGACCACCACAGAGATTAAAAAGATAAAAAGGAAAAGATCACTGCATTCTGGTTTTGACAACACCAATCATGTCTGCCACCAACTAGACATAATCTTATATAGTCAGCTTCACGATCACCTGACTACTGTTCCCACTTGGACAAGGAATCAAGGTGTTGAGTACTATTAGAGGATGATCCTCATGTATGGTGTGGTTAGTGTAGAATATTATCAGAAAGTAATAGTTGTCATAGGAGATGCCTTTGCACAGCAGCCTTGATGCTGACTGAACTATTAACATCCCCAGCAAACTGTCTCATATGTACCTCAGTGTCATAATTCTGCTTCTGTGCCTTTCTTTTTGTACGTTTCTACCAATGCCCCAGAAAACTACATTTTCTCATAAAACCACATTTTCTCATAAAACCAGCAAAGATTTTGTACAAAAGTCAGTGGTCAAGGGTGCAATGTTAGTTGAATATCAAAAAAGCAGTGTGCCAATCTACTATAGGGAAAGCTAAATAAAGAAATATCCACCATTTCGAGGATCCCAGGTGAAGGCCGTTTTCTTGCAATGTTTCCAAGATTTGAGTTACTTTTGAAGGACATTTTTGTTAAATTTTGAAGTATTTCTAATACACCTGATGGGCTTTTTCCATTACAGCCTGCAAGGACATTTTGAGCAGTAGACAGTATTGAAATATTCAGGGAAGGCCGGGCTCGGTGGCTCAAACCTGTAATCCCAGCACTTTGGGAGGCCGAGGCGGGTGGATCACGAGGTCAAGAGATCGAGACCATCCTGGTCAACATCGTGAAACCCCGTCTCTACTAAAAATACAAAAAACTAGCTGGGCATGGTGGCACGTGCCTGTAATCCCAGCTACTCAGGAGGCTGAGGCAGGAGAATTGCCTGAACCCGGGAGGCGGAGGTTGCGGTGAGCCGAGATCGCGCCATTGCACTCCAGCCTGGGTAACAAGAGTGAAACTCCGTCTCAAAAAAAAAAAAAAAAAAAAAAAAAAAAAGAAATATTCAGGGAGCCAGCCAGGTGCAGTGGCTCACGCCTGTAATCCCAGCTCTTTGGGAGGCTGAGGTGGGCTGATCACAAAGTTAAAAGACCAAAACTATCCTGGCCAACATGGTGAAACCCTGTCTCTGCTAAAAATAGAAAAATTAATGGGGCGTGGTGACGCATGCCTATAGTCCCAGCTACCCAGGAGGCTGAGGCAGAAGAATTGCTTGAACTTGGGAGGTGGAGGTTGCAGTGAGCCAAGGCTGCGCCACTGCAGCCTGGTGACAGAGTGAAACTCTGTCTCAAAAAAAAAAAAAAAAAAAAAAAAAATAGACTGGTCCGATGGTAGTGGATTATCAGAATTTATTAACACTAGTGTCACTAAAGTTGGTATATAACCCCCTACTGCTAAATTTGACTGGCTTTTTAAAATAAATAAATAAATAATTCAGGGAGCCATGGCTGACTTTGCACTGGGCTATCTAAAAGTCAGCTGGGATCTTTTGGCCAAGACTTCACTTTCTAAAGTGAGATCCACAAACAAGCAGTATCTTCAATGCTGTAAATCACTCAGAAAAAATTTTTTAAATAACACAATTTTTATAATTTTAGAAAAGGAGAGGAGGAGACTATTTCTTATATAGAGTTACAGCCTGCAAAGTGATCATCCTGCAGGCTAGGAGGTATGCCTCCAGCCAAGATCAGAGAGAGGCACGTTGAATGAGGAGGGATTGGGGTAGGAGCTTTATGCTGAACAGTTCGGCTAAACCTTCATATTCACCTGACTATAGGAGGAGCTATGAATATTAATGAAGGTGGTCCTAAAGCGTGCATATTGAACAAACATTCATATAACATACCGCCCATGTTCACTTGGTGGTGGAGACTTAACATTTAAATATATGACAATTAGGCCCTATATGTAAAAATGCCTTTTCAGGCAAAGCGTAGTGGTTCATGCCTGTAATTCCAGCACTTTGGGAGGCCGAGGCGGGTAAATCACCTGAGGTCAGGAGTTTGAGACCAGCCTGGCCAACAGAGTGAAACCCTGTCTCTACTAAAAATACAAAAAATTAGCTGAGTATGGTGGCAAGCACCTGTATTCTTGGCTATCTGGGAAGCTGAGGCACAAGAATCACTTGAACCCGAGAAGTGGAGGTTGCAGTGAGCAGAGATTACACCACTGTATTCCAGCCTGAGTGATAAAGTGAGACTCTACTTCAAAAAAGAATGTCTTTCAGGACAAAGGCATGTGAGTGTGCAGCTTCTGTAAACTGGCGGGAGCCAGTCCATGGCCAGTGGTCCTCTTTTGAGAAGAAAGTTACTGAAATCAGTCCCTTGTCCAATCAAAGCTGTAGTTATGGCTGGTGGAACAGGGATTCAGTTAGTGTCTGTGAACTGCATGAGTTGTAATTGTTAGGTCAGTGCTTTTTTAGTTGCTAAAGAAAAAGAAAAACCTGTGGCAGTTAGAACATAGTTTGTTATTTAAGTGTAAGGGAGTGTGACTTAACCCTTGACTGGCATGGCCAGACAACTCATCAAGTTCACAGACAGTAACTGAACCCCTGTTCCACCAGCCATAACTACAGCTTTGATTGGACAAGGAATGAGTTGTCCCTTGTCCAAGCAAAGTTGTGGATGAGTTGTAATCATTAGGTCAGTGCTTTTGTAGTTGCTAAAGAAAAAGAAAAACCTTGTTGCAGTTAGAACATGGTTTGTTATTTAAGTATAAGGAAGTGTGACTTAACCCTTGACTGGCATGGCCTTAGGTCCTGTTTGTAATCTGGGATGTTATTTCTACCAAGAGTCTGTTCTGTAAGTCTTATGATCTCTATGTTAACCTTGATCTTGGTCAGTTTTTGTGTCTAAACCACAAAACAGAGACGGTATAATGAGGTATGTCTGACCTCCCATTGTGTCATGTCCAGGAACTCAGTTTTAAGGTTTTTCTGGGATCCCCTTGGCCACAAGGGGGTCCATTCAGTCATTGAGGGGGCTTAGGACTTTATTTTTAGTTTACAGATCCCAATCCAGAC